CCATTTACCAAAACACTATAATATTTAATATTACTGAAATCTATCATCTATCATAGTAGTATGACTGAATTTGTAACATATGAAATGCTCCAGTTGTGAAGAATTCAGTAGTTACTTTGTGTTTGCATGGTTTCTTATAAAGGTTCAGATGCAATAAATCATCGAAGCAGTGCACAGACCAGCGGGTGAAGATTCATGTGAACAAGCAGGGCTTTTTTGTGCAGGCTTTGCGAAGGTAAAGTTTACACATTTAGGTAATTTGACGTGATTTTTAGCTAATAGGTCATTTTAGTAATATATTTAAATATTTTGTTGCTTTAAATGTATAGTTTTCTATATGTGTGTGATAATTCATTAGTATGTGTTTGGTCATATATCCTTTTCGTGTTAGAAATATGAAAATAATCTGCTGTTTAAATCACGAGACGAAGAGAAGGTCATCTTTCTCTGATGACAATGTTTTCTTCATGCTCTTTCTTTTTAAGGCCTTTGTTTCCAGACTGATCTACAGACTAATAACTAGAAGTGCACTGGAGGGAGACAGCTGGATGAGGATTCATCAAAGTCTCTCTGGTTCTTTGGATGACATAACATGTATTTACTAGAGAAAACAGGTGAAGGGGTGGATTTTTTCCAAATGCAAGTGATTTTATTTTATTTTGATTTATCTTTGAATTATTAATGATATTATTGATGATTACATTAATTTGAATTAATGTATTGCTCATAATCCTTGCTCCTAATTGTTCCGTTTTCTGTATTGTAAATTTTATACATTTATTGCCTCATTATATCGCGTCCAGAGAATATATGCTTTTATATGTAATTTCATTTGTTGATCTTTGTTTTAAACAATATTTCCAAACAGAGAGAGATTGTAGAAAATATGATTGTAGTGTGTTATACTTTAAAGGGGTCATATGATGCTGCTAAAAAGAACATTATTTGGTGTAATGAAATGTTTATGTGGTTTAAGGTTAAAAAAAATGCGCCCCGTAAACAAAAAAC